GCACCTTACCTCCCTGACCAGTGGGATCTGAGTGTGCTTGGCCTGATAGTGCCTTATCTCGGCACCAGAGCCCCTGAGCAGTGCCTCGCCCCAGCCAGTGAGTCCTAATCACCCTGGCCAGACGCAGCAAGGGCCTCTGAGGGGCCATGGGCCAGAGGAGGGGGCTGCATCAGCCCCCCCCCCCCCCAGAAAAGCCACCTCCACAGGGCTGGGCTGGGCAGCACCTCCACAGAGGGACACCTGCTCCCTCCAGGACGGCAGCACATCTGCCATCCCAAGGACCCATCCCATGGCCCTGGCAGTGACACCTCACTGCAGCAGCACCACCATGGTGCCTGGCACGGGCAGCTGGTCCCACAGGGTCTGCACAGGCACGGCTGGATGTGGCCTCTAATAACAAGACCAGAGGGTGTGGAAAAGGAATTTTACACCGTGTCCATTCTGCAAAGGGGACATACTCTTCCTGCTTCTCCTCTCACTGAGTAAGCAAACTAAATAGGAAGCTGAAAAAGAGAAGGGAATTGCTGCCAGGAGCGCCTTGGAACGAAAAAGCTAGTTTTAGTCTTATCTAATATCACATCAGCCATTTCCTAAGAAGGGAGCGAATTTAATTAAGAACACAGACTCCCTCAAGGACAGCCAGGTTACAGACAGCACTCCCAGCTCGGAACACAGTGCTGGGAGGTCCACATCACGCACACAGACAGCAAGGACAGACACCCTGAGCCTGACTGCTGGAGGCTCGCTGTTTGGGATCCAGTGCAGACGCCCTCAGGCACAGCACTGCGGCCACAGAGGCAGGCAGAGCAAACAGGGAGGGTAGGGGCAATGTGAGTGGCATGGAGAGGGAAGCAGAGGCAGTCCAGGGCAGACACTGGTAGCAGACAGATCCTACACAGAGCCTTCGGTGGTTGCAGACACAAAGGGACACAGTGAGTCCCGGGCTGAGCAGAGCCTGAGCCAGTTGTGGGGTCAGACGTGCTGTGGGGCTCCTGGCACACACTGTGGCACAGCCTTTGCTTCTGCTGGCCTTGCTCAGTGCTGTCAGTGCATGGCAGCACCATGGCAGAGCTCATAGGGATTGCAGACCACACCTGCCCAGTGTGTCAGTGATTCACCACGAGCGCTGCCAGTGCCTTTCTCCAGCAGAGAAGTGCTGGCACTCAGGAATTCCTCCACAGCACTGCTGTCCCTGGGCACGGACAGGAAGCCTAAGCTTCAGCTGCAGCTCCAGAGAGATGTGCCCAGACCAGGGCAGCACATCCCACCACGTTGAGGTCAACGGGCTCCTGCTACAAAATGGAAAGTTTTAAATTTTGCAGCCCCTGGACTCCAGCATCTCACCTACACCGAGGATTCCCTGACACTGACATTGGCTGTCAGCGGCAGTGACGCCAGTGTTGGGTTGTCCCCAAGGGCAGGGCAGGCTGGAGATGCTGGTCAGCACTGGCCAGGGCAGGTGCCGGACCCCCAGAACAACCACACTGGTCTGACCAAAGGTCACTCCAGCCCTGCCCCCAGCCTCCACCATGGAAAGGCGAGCATGATCCTGCCCCAGCACAGCCACCTGGCTTCCCCAGGACTCACGGGGTCAGCAACTGTACCTGGGCCACGGCTTCCAACAAACTGGGGACTTTGTTGTCAGCACCAAGAGTCTAAAGCTGAGTCATCCCTTTACCAGCCACAGTGGTACAGAGCTTACCCCGTCACCTCTGCACAAACCCAGGGGCTTCCAGCAGGCTGCATGCACAAAATTAAAGTAAATGTCTCTGTCCTGAGATGGGCAGTGAGGGCTCCCACGGGCCATGGCCCTGCCAAGTGGAGAAAAGCACTTGTGCTGCTGCTTCCCACCTGGGGGAGGCCCAGCCCTCGCCAGCACCGCTGCATTCCCTCAGGGCAGAGAGGAAACAGGACTGAAGGGCAGGAATCTGGTACACTTTGTTTCTGATGGAAAAATAAAGACAGATGAAAACACCCAGGCTGCTCTATAAATACATTTCATTTTAATCACCTGAAATTAGTTCCTTGGCATCCCCCAGCGCGTTTGGCAGTAAGTGCATTTCCTTCTGCCATTGAGGGCCTCCACAGCACAGCAGCCACAGCCAGTCCCCTGCTCCTGCCTCACCCCTGGGCACTGCAGTGGGACCGGGGGGCCCAGGCACGTGGCTGGCAGAGGGATGGGGGGCCCTTTGAGGACAAGCTCAACCAGCCAGCTGGGACTGCTCCGAGGCTGTCACAGGAAGAGGGACCAGCAGCAGCCCCAGTGTTTCACTACTGGGTGGTCCCTCTCAGAACTGCTTGGAGCAGCTTTAGCCTCTCAAGCACATCAAGAGGAAGAACAGACAGACAGAGGATCTTGGGATATTTCTAAGTCATGTCTTCAGAAGGGTTCGCAGACTCTCTTTGCCCCAAGAAATCCTGAGGATGCAGCTACTTGCAGTCAGGGTGTGAATCCAGGCCCAGGGAGTGACCCTTGTCAGCGAGACTGAAGACTGCAGCTGGGGAAGGGAAGGGACCTCCTGTCAGAAGAACTTGACGCCTCGGCCGTCATCCAGCGTGATAATTTCAGCCTTGTGCTCCTGCTGCAAGGCTTGCAGGGCACGGAGCAGCATAGCCTCATCCAAGCCATGGAACTCTAGGGAAGGACCAAGATCCTCATCAATAGGGAAAAAAAAAATCCCATCAGGAAATAAACAGGCTTGCAAGGTCCATGGACTGGGGGCAGCAGAGGGCTCTGAAGAGCACTGTAACACTACAGCAAATCGAGAGTCACACGGCTACACTGACAGGCTCATCCCTACATCACTGCTTCAGGAACAAAGCCTGAAGGACACCAGACAGCAGGGATGAGTCACAGGAGCCTCTAAGGCAGTGCAGGAGCTCGGCATGAAAACAAAACACCCCTCACCTCACCAGAGAAAGCGCTGGGCACTGGGGAAGTGAAAATGCAATTACAGAGGGACATGTTCCTGCAAAGTGTTAAAAGCCTTCGCAGCAGCACGTGCCAGTGGTGTGGGGGGCAAGTCTGCGTGTGAGATTTCAAAATATTTAATCTACAAAACTATAATCTGACAATTAACTGTTTACATGCTCCAATCCAGTGTGCTCTGAAAACCTGCTCTAGACCACGAGCCCTGACATTACCTTCGCTCTCGGTATCATCCCCGCTGGCCAGTTCGTACAGCGTGAACACAGAGTTGGTCAGGCCATTCCTCAACACCTGGAAACAGAAAGGCAACACAGCAAATCTCATCCATGTGGCTGAACATCCTTGTACATCCCAGAGCACGGGACATAAAGTGTGCACAGCACTCAAGGAGCAGCGGCAGCCTGGGGCAGCAGGGTCAGAAGTGCAGCCTGAGGGGACGAAGATGGTTCCTTCCCTGCCCCTCGGTTCTTCCTGCCCACATTTTGCAGTGAGGACTCGGACCACACACAGTGACACTGTCCTGTCCTCACCAGGGAACAGCCAGTGGCACTGGGGGCAGCCAGTGGCACCCACAACTCACAGCAAGCAAGAAGCTGTTGATAACCCCGTCCCTCCCTGCAACAGGGAGAAATGGAAGCAGAAAGGTAAAAGCAATGAGGAAGCAAGAGGAGAACACTGCAGTGGTCTTTCCCAAACAGCAGCCAGGACCCCCTGTCCTCTCAGACACTGAGCCTGGTCTGGGTGTGCAGCTCTCTCACCCACTGATAGATGAGCTTTCCCCATTCTTCTGGTCTCCTCCACATGATCAGAAAGCTGGTTTTGTTCTTATCTAACCATTCCAGGTTCCCTAAAAACAACAGGGAACAGAGACTGAATCAGAGCACAAGTCAGCAGTGAGGATGAAATGTGCAGATTTCAGGACACATGCCAGACACTACACCCAGGGGCAGCCTCAGGGTCCAGCCTCCTCCCAACTGCTCACGCCAACTTCCTAAATATCGCTGTGTCTACAGAAATCGATTTCTCTTTTGAGACCCCTCTTCCTCCTCAGCTAAATCTGCCTGCAACGGCAGGATTGGGTCCCGTGGAGGCGCGGGCAGGGATGGCCAAAGGAACCAGCCTGGGCTGCGGCATAGCCCAAATCTATGGGATGGGCAGTCCCTGCCCCGGCACGGAGCTGTCCTGCGGGGCGGGCACCGGCTCCGCTCCGGGGCACGGACGGATGGACGGATGGACGGACGGATGGACGGACGAGGCACCCACCGTTCTTGCGGAGCTCCTCCAGCACCACCTGGATGGATTCCAGCGGCAGCTTCCCTGGGCGCGGGTTAAGGAGGCGCTGACGGAGGCGGGGTCGGGGGGTTGGGGCGACGGGGGCGCGGGCACCGGGCCCAAAGGATACGCTGGAGGCGGCTGTTGGCGAAGAGCGGGATGTCCTGCGCCTCCCGCACCGTCATGGCGGGCAGGCGGTGCCGCCGGCTGTACGCCAGCGCCAGCGCGCACCAGGCCGACAGCTGCTTCTGCCTCGTCTCGCCGTTGGGCTGCAGCCTGCGGGGAGTCGCGTCAGCGCGGGGCCGCCGAGGCACCGGTAGCCCCCGGGCCCGGTGCCCCCGGTGCCCCGCGTCCCCCGCCCTGATCCCCCTGGCCCTGACCCAGCCCCACGCCCAGTCCCGCGCCGTGCCCGCCCGCGCTCACGTGAAGAAGGGCGGGAAGCTGTACTGCCAGGGCCACGCGAAGCTCATCGCCTCCGCCATCGGAACCGCCGCCGCCTTCCGCCCCGGCCCGGCCCGGCCCGCTTCCGGCGCGGCCGCGGCGCCCCGCCCACTCCGCCGAGGCCCTGCCCCTCTCCACCGAGGCTCCGCCCCTCTCCACCGAGGCTCCGCCCTCCCTGCAGGGTCCCGCCCCGCAGTCCCGCCCCCTCCGAGCCTCGCCCCTCCCGGACGGGGTGGCCCCGCCCTGTTCCCGGTCCCGTTGTTCCCGGTCCCCGTGTTCCCGGTCCCGGTGTCCCACGAGGCACGTTCCCCACGGCAAGAAGCTGCCGGCGTGCCCATGCCGGGGCGGGGTTGGCGGCGGGAGTGGGCCCGCGGCAGGCCCGCGGCGGGATCGAACGACGGAAGAAGCAGAGCCAGGCGTGGGGGGAGAAGCGTTTAATCCCGGGCCGCGGCGCGGGGGAAGGCAGGAACCGGCCGCCCCAGCAGCGCGGGGCGGTGGCCCCGGGAGCCCACGGGACGGCTCGGGTGGCCGGGGGTCCGTGCCCCGCCGCGGGACGGGGTGGCAGCGCTAGGCCTGTGCCTTGCCATCCTTGCTGCGCCAGATGACCAGGGTGACGAGGAAGGGGATGAGGCAGATGGGGGCGATGATCATGGCCAGCAGCACGTCCTCGGGCGGGTCGAAGTACACCGGGTGCTCCAGGGTGCAGTTGTGGAAGTAGCGGTGGTGGCTCTGAAAGATGTACTGCTCCGCCAGTGCGTTGGGGTAGCTGTAGTTCAGGCGGTCGGCCCAGAGCTCCAGGCACAGCTGCAGGTCGCTGTAGGGCCTGGGGAGACAGCCGGGGCACTGGCAGGGGACAGGGCACCAGGGCACAGACCCCCAGGCCATCCCCAGCCCAGCAGCACCCCTCTGGACTGCCCAGCCCCTGTGCCCTGCTGCCAGAGGGGAAGGTCCCACCACCCCATACCTTCTGATGACTTTCCACTCGCACAGCTCCGATGCTGTCACATTCCTCATCAGGTAGACGAAGTAATCCCAGCACTTCTGTGTGATGTCGGAGTAATTTCCCTCTGTGGGGAAAGGTGCTGAGCACGGGCAGCACGCCCTTTCCATGGCACATCCCTGCCTGCCCCTGCTGCCAGGTGACACCCAGGCCAGCCGGAGAGACACTGGCAAGGGAGGGGAGAGACCCTGCAGCAGCCCTGGGGTACTGCCCAGACTCCACAGCAGTCCCAGGGCAATGCCACGAGCACAGTGGGAGGGCAGGTTGCTGCTGGCTGGCACGGGCCAGCTATTTTGGGGATAGCCAGCGGAAAGGGGGAGGATAACCCTATGGTGCAGAGCCAGCCCTGGCCAGGGCACCGTTGGGCCCAGGGGGCTGCACAGCCCTTGCTGAGCCCCAGCACTCACCCATGGGCTGGGCTGTCCCGTTGGACATGGCCATGGGTGAGCTTGTCCCGGCATCCTGGCCAAAGCCCTTTGTCTCGGCGTCCGTGTGGCAGAGCCCAGTCCCCAGGAGCACTGCAGAAGGGGGGACACAGGGTGAGGAACAACACAGGGTCAAGGGGGGCAGGTGCTAGTAGGGCTCCACGCACAGAAGCTGCCTCAGCAGAGGCTGGGTCTGCAGCAGGGAACTGGTTCTGAGTGTCCCTTGGGGGCCACTGGAGCCAGGAGTTGGGGCGCAGGACAGTGAGCTGCCCTACTCCTGGCACGTGCTGGGGCCACAGTGTCCAGCCCCCCAGATGGGCAGAGGCTGTGCAGAGGGGTCCAGCCAGGCTGTGGGCAGCTGCTGAAGGGCCCAGAGGAGCTCTCTGGTGGCAGTGGTCCCTGGGCTGTGGTCACAGCACAGGGGTGAGCCATGACCACTGCCCATGGGGAGCCAGCGCAGGCACCGCCCTATTGCCCTGGGTGGCTGCATTGCAGCTGGACAGGGCTGAGGCAGGAAGAGGAAGCACTGGACACAGTACGGCACTGCCGGAGAGCCCCTCCGCCTGCCATCAGTCCCACGCCCAGCACAGCCTGCCAAGGGCGTGGGGCATGTCTCGCCTGCCCCACGGGGCCCCATGGCCCAAGGAAACCGCCCCATCCATCTTCCACCCCTGGCTGAGGGCCCATGGTGTGGGGCAGCAATGCTGGCGGGCCCCAGTGGGCCCTGCCTAGGCCGTTCATGGGGAGCTCTGGGACAGCCAGGCACTGGCTACGGGGTGCTCCTGGGCTGGTACTGTGGCTGAGGAAAGGGCAGCCCACCCTGTCCCAGTCTCTATCCCCGATGGTCCCATCCAGCCCCTCTGCCTGTGGTGCTGCGGCTCCCGTTGCAGCTCGGGGCTTTGCAGGGCTCCCTGCTAGATTGGGAATGAGCGTGGTGGGGGCTGCCCCCAGCACCCACCTGCCACTGACCCCTGGCCAGGCTGTCGGTGGCTGTCCCAGCCACCCTCAGGCTGGTCCCATGCCAGGGTAGGTGGTGGGTCAGGCTGAGCCGAGACCCCGTCCCCTGGGCCCCACGAGTGGGAGGGCGGCCACATGCGGGGTGGTGTGAGGTGGGGAGCCCCCGGGGCCGCCCCCCGCGCACTTACCCCAGAGCAGCAGGAGCCCTTGGGAGAGGTGGCCGGAGCTTGTGTGTGCGAGCGGTGCCATCCTGCCAAAGCCTGCCGGCTAACGACCGGGACAAGGATTTCAATGGAAATAACAGGAAGCAACTCCTTTCCTCTGACAGGGGCAGTTTGACTACAGGAGACGTGTGAAAAATGAGATTGCTCAGCGCTGCTCTGAAGCGGCTCTGCCGGCGGGACTCCGCCGTGCCGCGCGGTGCCGGCCCCCGCGGGCATTGCTCCGGCGCCCCAGCACCCGCGACACCCGTGCCTCACCCGCTGGCCCGGAGGCTCTGCTCCCCGCACAGCACGTCCAGCCTTACGAGGCTGCGATTTGTTTACTTGTGTATTTCTCTTTAATCCTGTCTGGGCTGGGTTGTGAAATCCCTCGTCTCCTGCGTGGAGGGCAGGCAGCCCAGCAGCGGGGGGAGTGGACGGGGAAGCACAACGTCCCCGGACGGGCGCTGCCGCCCAGGGATGGGGGAGGCAGGGGGACCAATGGCCCCAACATCTGCCCCACGGGCGGCACAGCTGGGGCAGCTCCAGCCCCTGCCCAGGCCCGCGGCCGAGGAGGGAAGGGTGCTGACGTGACCTGCCCACAGGCACGAGGAGGTGGGGAGAGGGCAGAGACTTGGCCGACCCTGACAGTCCTTGGCCCCAATGCCTTCCTCCTGCACCGCCCAGCCCAGTGCCTGCCCAGCTCTGCTGGAGCCCCCTATTCCTGGAGCAGATCCCGCCCAGGGGCCCATGTCCCCCAACTGAGGGTGACCCCAGCCCATGGGTCCGCAGCATTCCCTCATAGGACCGAGCTGAGGCCAGGTGAGCTCATTTCACCCCTGGCCAGGGGCAGAGTGCAGCTTAAAGCCTCCCCTTTAACAGCCACCTGTAGACGTGCAAAGTGGGGACTGGATTGCAGTGAAGCACAGCTCAGAGGGACCCTGCCTGCTGTGGAAAGATTACTTCGGTCTTTAGTTCCCCAGCAGAGGTTCTGGCAGAGCTGTCTGATGCTCCCCAGGCCACAGCAGCCATCACTCCAGGGCACCACGGGACCTTCTGCAGATGAGTGGCCACATCTGGAAGCTATCCCTGGCACTCCAGTGGCCGTAGGGCTGGAGCCCCCCAGTTCCACTCTTTGGTGGAGCCAGCAGAGTCTCCGGCTGGGTGGCAGGAGCCTCTGCCAGGGAGACACCCAATGATCTCAGCATGGCCCCGGGGCGAGGATGGCCACCTCCCTCCTGGGGCATCCGGAGGGGATGGGCAGGGACAGGACAGGCAGGGATGGGATGGTGGCTGCTAGCCAAAGGCCTGGGCCCCCCACCCAGCCTGGCATCCCCGGTACTCCCGGCCAAGCCCCACCCGGAGTGCCAAAGAAGGGGCTTGGCCCGTGCAGGGTCAGGATCCTGGTGCCTGGGATTCTTCTCCCAGTGCTTCCCCTGCTCAGGGCAAATGCAGGCATCCCCTAGTGCTATGGAACCAGCTCCAACTGCAGGGACTCCCCGCCCCGCCTGACTCAGCGGAGCTCCCAGATGCGGGCGGGACGCGGAGACTGCTCGTCCCTCCCCTCGGGGTCACCCCTCAGAGTCAGCGGGGAGAGGCGCCCCGGGGCAGCCGGCGCTCCGCACCGCGGCGGGGGGATGGACGGGGCCCCCGCCGGGGCAGGAGCCAGCACCGCCCGCTCCCCACCACCGGGGCCACCGGGTCAGGAAAAGCCGCCGCCAGCAGCCGCTTCCTGCCCGGCGCCGCCACGGGGAGCCAGAGGGGCCCGGGACTGCCGGGGCGATTCGTCGAGGCCAGGCTGCCCCGGGGCGGGACCGGCGCTGTCCCGGCAAGCGCTTCCTGCGGGACCGAACCGGGCCCGCAACAGAGGCGGGGCCGGGTGCACCGAGCATGGGCGGGCACCGGGGCGGGATGGGCAGCGGGCTCAGACCCGCCGGGCTCGGCCCGTCCCCCGCATCCCGTGGGGGCGTTCGCCGGGCTGGCACGGGCCCGCTCCACCGGGGGAGCCCCGCGCGCCCCGAGCCCGCCGGAACCGCCGGGAACAGCGGGAGCACCGGCGGGAACAGCGGGAGCACCGGCGGGAACAGCGGGAGCACCGGCGGCAGCGGGGCGGGGGCGTGGCCGCGATGCGGGGGCGTGACCTGCGGCGGGACAGGGGCGTGGCCGCAAAGAGGGGGGCGGGGGAATACGCGAGACCAGAGGCGGGGCCTGGGGCCAGGCGGGGCGGGGCCTGAGATTGGTCTGGGCGGGGCCTGAGGCTGGTCTGGGCGGGGCCTGGGGCCTGGGGCCGGGCGGGGCGGGGCCGGCGCGCGCGCAGTGCCGAGGGGGCGCGCGGCCTCCCCGTGTCGCGATGGCCGAGCAGTGAGTGCGGGCGGGGCCGGGGGGTCCCGGGAGGGGAGCGGGGTCCCGCAGTACCGGCCGGGACCCCGGGTGGCTTCGGGGCCCAGCCCCGCTCCCCGGCCCGCCGGCGTCGCCGGCCCCGGCTCGCTCCGGTGCGTGTTCTCGGAGCGCACGGGCCCGGCCGGAGCGGCGCGGGAGCGGCTGGAGCTGGACCTGCGGCTCTCCGGCGTCATGTCCCGGAGGGGGATCAGGGACCCCAGCAACGCCCCGGGGTCAGGCGCTGCCCCGGGGGCTCGCGGGGCAGGAGCGGCCGGTCCCGGTCAGCGCCGCCCCTCGCTGCTGTCCCGGGCCTGTTCGTGCGCCTCGGCCGCGGGTGTTCCGCAGGGAGGAGCACTGCAGACCGACCGGGCCATTATTTTGCCTGGTTCAAGTCCATGATGCATTTAAAATCCGCAGGGATGTTTTTCTAATATCACTTGTTTCCGGGATTGAGCTCTCCGTTATTTGATGTTCTTTCTGTACTGTTATAGAAAAATGGAAATTGCCACTCCTCCGACATCGAAGTGCATCATGTACTGGAAGAGGAAGGTCAAGTCCGAGTACATGCGTCTGCGGCAGCTCAAGAGGTTCCAGGCGAACATGGGGGCAAAGGTACAGGCATGGCAAGGGCTGGGCTGGGGCATCCCTGAAACGCTTCCCTTCAGCTCAGAGAGTCCAAGCAGTGCCAGGGGGTGTCAGCCCGTGGATTGATAAGCTGTTCTTGACTTGCAGGCTAGATCAGTGGGAACAGATGCTGCTTTTCCCCGTGCTCTGTCCTTGGTCTCGGGCCATGTGGGCGATTGCTCTCGCACACAGAAGGCTGTTGGATGAGCCCAAAAGGGCTTGTTCCCACTTGGTTTTTACAGTATCTCCCTGCTGAACCCTCTCAGTGCTGTGGGTTTCAGATGACTTTCTCTTGGCAGCAGGATTTCAGAGGGGGTCAGCTGGGACCAGGAGTTGCCCTAAGCTCCCTGGCTGTTGGGTGGGTTCTCAGCGCAGTTTTGTACCAATGCTGAGTTTAATTAGAATTTCATCTAATGAGTATCACCAATCTGAATTGCTCAGCCTTGTTTGTGTTTTGATGCTCAAAAGAGAATCTCAGGAAGAATTTTAGTGTTCTCAACGGGATTTCTTAAATTTTGAGAGCTCCTTTCTCTCCTTTCAGGCTCTTTTTGTGGCTAACTTTGCGAAGGTTCATGAAAAGACTCAAATCCTGAATGAAGACTGGAAGAAGCTGCGAGTGCAGCCGGTGCAGTTGATGAAGCCAGTCAGTGGGCACCCGTTCCTGAAACAGGTGTGCAGTGGAAAAGGAGCACAGCAGCAGCAAGTGGGGACTGGAACCAGGGCTCTGTGGGGATATGGGATGAGGTTTTGCTGTCCTAGGTCAGTGTCAGGCTGTGCCTTGCACTTCTGGGATGCAGAAATGGGCAAAAAGTACTCCAAAGGCTTTTTCCTGTGCAGGAATCACAGAGTGGATGTGGGGCTTCCATGTCTTTGTCCTTTGTCTTTGAATTCTGTTTTCTCTCAGGCTGGGGCAGCCTCCCAGGGTGGTTCCTCACTGCCCTTCTCTGTACTTGTATTCCAGTGCACTGTTGAGAGCATTTTCCCAGGATTTTCAAGCCAGACACTGTACATGAGGACCCTGAACACGGTGGCACTAGTTCCCATTATGTACTCCTGGTCCCCTCTTCAGCAGAATTTCATGGTATGTGGGAGGCTGTGGGGCGCAAGGTGTGTGGTTGGTGTGTGATTGTTACACAGCTGGGAAGTGGTTCTTCAACCCACTTGTTTCAGGCAATGTCTGCTCGAGAGATGATGGAAAGTGTTGTTTTAGATGCTCGTTTTGTGGAATCCCATAAGCCAGCCATGTGTCCACACTGTGGCAGCCAGGTGGCCTTTACATATGACTCTTTGGCAGGGTCAAGGAGTTGCTTCACAGGGCTCAAGGAGTAAATATGTTTTTTGGGGTCTCGCTTTATTTGGGTTTTTTCCTAGGATTTTTATGTCCTTTTAAACAAAGAATTTTATTTCTTAGACAGGTCCTTTCCTTTGTGACTGGGTGACAGTGGGATAGCACTGACATGTCAGGGATGAGACATCTGAACTTCTGCTGGTCCCTGTGTTGTTGGCAGGTGTGAGGGACTGGAGCAGCCTCGGCCACAGCCTCGCTGGTATCAGCAAATGCTGCTTTTCTGATTTGTGTCTGATCTCTCTTCAGGTGGAGGATGAAACAGTTCTGTGCAATATCCCTTACATGGGTGACGAGGTGAAGGAAGAAGATGAAACCTTCATTGAAGAACTTATTAATAACTATGATGGGAAAGTTCACGGAGAGGAAGGTAACCTGGGAGCAGCCAGCCCTGTCCCTTCAAGGCCAGGTTGGATGGGACGTGGAGCAACCTGATCTAGTGCCCTGTTCATGGCAAGAGGTGGAATGAGATGAGCTTTAAGGTCCTGTCCAGCCCAACCCATCCTGTGGTTTTATGGTTCAGTCTCTTGCAAATAACATATCTAAGTAATTCAGAAGTCAAAAGGTGGCAGCAGTAACCAGGTTTTCTGTGGGAGCTCTCAGAGCAGGGAAACGGGACTGTGCCTGCTGTTCTCCTTTGCAAGGACACAGTCCTGCCTTTGGATATCCTGCTCCATTCTAGGCCTGAGGTGCTCTGGAGCAGATACT